TAGATTTGATTTTGAAAATCAAAATGAAATTTTGAAAAATGATTTAGAGCTTTCAAAAACCAAAATAAATTATGTTTAGAAATGACAAAATGCTCACATTGTCATTTTCATGGTCATAAGGAACATACTTGTCATTTGAATAAAGTAAAACGTTTTAAAATTAGGCAAGTGATGGTTCCGAAAGGAACAAGGTGCATAGAAACTAATGTTCAAGGATCCAAAGTAATTTGGATACCAAAATTTACTTAAATGTCTCTTGTAGGTGTGTGGGAGCAATGGTGATAAAAGTGATGATATTCAAGATGCTCTAGCCACATGAAAAAGGAATGGGTAACCTCTAAACTTAATGCTTTTGATTTTGGTTATTTAGTTGCTCATTTGGATTTATGCATGCATGAGTTTTGATTTTGAATGATTATGCATTGTTTTAATCTCATGTATATTGAAAAGATGTTTTATGATGAACATTTTAAAGTTTTAAATGATTTTTCAGAATTTTTAGTTCATCATAATAAAATTTTGGTCAAAATTAGTTTTAAATGCAAACGATATCTCTCTAACAATTGATATCAACCTTTCAAATATTTTGATTTTATAAATTTTAAATTTTGACCTAAATTTAAATGTTTATGTATGTGATTTAAAATGCAAAAGATATCCCTCTAACAATTTATATCAAAATTTTCAAATGCATAACATTTTTGGAAAACATTATGCATATAAACTTAATTTCAATAATTGATATTGCATAAAATATTTTAGACTTGGATGTATTGAATTTCATGTGCTACTAACATGTTTGTTATTCTTTGTTGAAATTCAATTTTGTTTAAGTGTCACGATCTAAAAAAGCTAAATTTTGTTTGGAATTCTATTATTGAGGGGGAGCTTTGATTTTTCAAATGATTTTTAAATGTCAAATTTACCACTTACTCTCCAAAGTTATTTTGAACTTCAAAGATTGAATTATTTTTGATATAACAAAAGGGGGAGAAGTTTGGTTTGAAAAATTCAATTTCTTAATGAAAAAGGGGGAGCTTAACATTTTCATATATTTTCCAACAATTGTTAACAATTGATATCTTTTTCATTAAACAATTTATTAAGGGGGAGTTTTGCCAAAAACAATTTTTCAAATGTTTTGTTATATCAAAAAGGGGGAGATTGTTGAACTATGTTTTGATATAACAATTTAAGGCAAAATGGTTTTTGGTCTTGAATTGAATTTACAAAATGGTTTTTGGACTTAATTGAATTTATTCAAAGTTTTAAAAGGTTTCAAAAATAATTCAAAGTCCATTAAATTCGGATTTGAGCAAAAATGCTAAAGGGTGTCAAAGTGCATCCATGCACCTGCACTAGTGCATCGATGCACCATGCAGTGCATCCATGCACTCCATTTCGAATGCACTTAGTGCATCAATGCATCCTGATGTGCATCGATGCATCTTGCTGTGCATCGATGCATCCTGTTGTGCATCCATGTACGAAGGCTGTAACAGCTAGTTTTTTTGAATTTAATGAAGGGGTATCGATGCACCATGATAGTGCACCGATGCACCATGTTATCGGCAGCCTTTTTGAGTAGAAAAATAATCCCCAAACCTCTCCAAAACATCTCCAATGACTATATACAACATCAAACACATTCCAAGCTATAAATACAAGCTAAGGACACTTTAAGAATAAAGAGAACAACTATCCGAGCAATCAAACACAAGAGAAGAGTTTTTCAATCTTATTTCATCTTTCTCTTGTAAATATTTTGTTATTGTGAGCTCAATCATATAAACACCTACCTTAGATAGGTTTTCTTGTTTACTTATTTTATCCTTTTGTAAAGGGAAAAGTTCTAGCTTATCCCGTGTAAAAGCTAGTGAAAGGTTCTAGTTTAGCCCGGAAAACCTAGGGAGTTGTAAGGTTATCTTTTTGTCCTCAAAAGAAAGAACAAATTAGTGAATTTGTTGGAAAATCCTTGGTGAGGAGCTAAGGTAGTGGACGTAGACTTTGGTTTAGAAAGTCAAACCACTCTAAATCGTTGTGCAATTTTCTATCTTTCAATCTCCTTACTCCCTAAACTCAAAAACCGTTCCGACCCCTCTTTGCAAACCGTTTCGGTTGTCGAATCGAGCTTTCGAAAATCCCAACATGTCCCAAGAAGCGTCGCCTTACAACTATCATGAAGAGGATGGAAGAAGGAGAAGTAGCGGGAATTGGTGTGGTTGCAAGTGTTAAAGCTGCCAAGCAGGGGAAAAGACTTGGTTCGATTGAGGGGGTTAATGCGGCCAAGAAAGTATCGAGACAAGGCAATACTGTTGATGTTAAGGCAGCTGAACCCAGAAGAAAACCCGATGCGTGATTGCGAGTGTTCAAGCAATCAAGGCAGGAGAAAAACTTGATGAGGCTACATGTTCCAAAGTCGCCGAATCAAGGGGCAAGGATGGTGCAAATACAAGTTCACTAGTAGTAAACCCAGGATCGAAACGTGGCGAGACTGCGAGTATCAAAGCAGTCGAGCATAAGAAAAGACTCGGTGCGATAGCAAGAAATAAAGCCATCAAGCCGAGGGTGCAAAGTGAGCAAGTTTGTTCACAGTATGCCAGGATGGAGGCGTAGTCCAAGTTGAGGCGTCTCAGGCATAAAGGGACACTTAAGGAGTATGTGAGTCGATTCAGAAAACTCATACTCAAAGTCCCAAGTTTGACTGAAGAAGATGGATTCTTCACCTTTCATGTACGGATTAAAGCCATGGGCGAAGAGAGTATTGGAGCAAATGGAAGTCAAGGAGTTGTCTAAAGCCTTGACAACCGCTGAGTCTATCAAAGAATTTGGAGTCAAGAAGTACAAGACTTCCAAAACAAAGCCGAAAGTCGAGGGTAGTGGCAAGAGATTCTGTAATGAAGGCAAGTCAGAGGATGAGGAATGTTGTTCCTCGAGTGGCAGAGAAAGTCCACTCAATGATGAACCAGATGGTGGATCTGGAGAAGATGTGTGCAGTCTTGACACAAGTTCAAGTGTCAAAGATGCTAAGCCTAGGGTAAGATTCGAACATACGAGAAGGCGCAGACTTAAGATGCCAGAAGTGTTACAAGATTACCTGAGGGGAGCCGAGTCATCCAAGGTAATGGATGAGCATAGGATTGAGTTGTCCAGAGAATAGGAGGAACCCATGATCGAGGGGGAGTTGAGAGTTGGCTCAATATGGTTAATGTTTACCAAGACAAGTAGAATCCAAGTGCAGGAGGAGTTAGCCATGTCCAAGGATTTTGTTGAGCATGTTCGTGTAGAGAAAATGGCTTTAGAGACCATCATATGAGAAGGGTCGAAGCAAGGGTTTGCTGAGGATGTTCAAGTGAGGAACAATACTTCAAAGACTAGTAGACAAGAGTCGAAGGGAGCCAAGACGTTAAGGGACAAGGCAACCATGGAGAAACTACCCATTTGCAAGATGGGAAGTGAGCTCCAACCTTCGTGTTAGAAGGGAAGAGGCAAGAAGAGGCATCGGACTTTGCCGTGAGAAAGTGCTGATGCATGGTGGCGAAAAGAACTCAAATGATAAGGGTTCAATGAGAGGAGTGTTAGACTTCATATAATAAGAAGGGCTGACGCAATTTTGAGTATGCCATGGTTTGTACTAGACCCTCAAGCAGTGGGAGCTGTTAGCAGGTACATGAACAATCCAGGCAAGGTACACTAGGAAGTTGTCAAATGGATCATCAGATATTTGCGGCCACAAAACAAAGCACTTTGTTTCAAAGGTGGAGATACGATACTGACAGGTTATGTAGATGTTGACTTAGCCGGAAATGTTGACATTAGAAGGAGCACTACAGGGTATGTCTATACTTAGGAAGTATTGTAGTGAGTTGGGTTTCTCAACTACAGAAGATAGTTGCTCTCTCCACAACTGAAGCAGAATATGTCACTGTTACGAAAGCCAATAAGGAGATGGTTTGGCTCCAAAGTTTCTTGAAGAGTTAGGCAAGAAACAAGAAAACAATGTCTTGTATTACGACAGTCAAAGTGCTATCCATCTAGCAAAGAATCTGTCTTTTCATTCTAGGACGAAGAACATACAATTGAGATATCATTTTATCCTGTCTCTTCTGGAAGATGGGATTTTGAAACTTGAAAATATTAGTGGAGCTTAAATTTCGGCAAACATGCTGACAAAGACGATGACTGCTGTCAAACTAAATGTGTGTTCAGCTTCAGTGGGTATGCTAGAATAACAAGACTAGAAATGTTGCTGCATTGATCGAGGTGTGAAGACATATTAAAATCAGTCTTTAAGTGGGAGATTGTTGGTCAAAAATGGATGCTAACAGCCGGCGGCTAAAGTGGTCTAAGGTGGCTGCCTAATTTTGTTGAAAATAAAAATAAGGATAATTGTAATTTAGTCCCTTCATACTTTAGGGTATTTATAAGATTAGTCCTTAAGCTTCAACTATAAATATTCTAACCCATTTAGCTTCAAAATCATCCCCAAATCATTCTAGCTCTCTCTCAAGTTTTTTCTAAACACCTGTAAATTTGCTCCCTTTAGTAAAAGATCTGCAACTGTCCGGAGACGTAGGCATAATTGGCTGAACTCCGTTATCAATTTAGGGTATTATTTTTCCATTTTTATTTCGTATTCTCGCTAATCTGTTATAGGGAAATTACTCGTTTATTTCCCAACAACTGGTCTGGCTGCAATGAGGCGTTAGGTTTGGTTGCTTCTGCAACCAGTGCTTTTGATGCTGCTAATGGAAGCAAACATTGCTAATTCGGATGGTGAACTTGAGGTGAGATTGATTGAAGGAGATATTTTGACATCAGAACACTGGATACACGATATACATTTGTTTTTATTGCTATTTTAGTATTAAAGTTCCATCTCTTTCTCCTTTCCCCCTCATAAGAACACTGGATAGATAGTTCCATTCTTTCTTTCTTTTTTCTTCATTTGGTTCGTTTGATGAATCCCAAATCATAGGCAATACAATAAAAGGAAGTCGTTTTTTATTCAATCACTTGATTGGTGATTTGTTTTTCCAAGAAAACAACAAACAAATGAAGATGACCCAAAAGAAAAAGAATCCCAAAGATGAGGAACCGAAGACCCTAGTTATTCATCATCTTGCTCGTCGTCCATAAGAAATCGCAAGTGCTTTCCTTTCGGCGTCGGTAATCCCTTCAACCACATAATCTCAGATGAATCCTCCTCACACACTTCAAGTTCACCATCATTGTTGTATACAAATCTTGTGTGCTTCCCTTTGAGCTTCTCTTTCACGCTCATCTTGCTTAAACCCTCACAAAGCTCGTCAACCAACAACCCTCCATCATCGCCCATTGCTTCTTCTTCTTCTTCATAGTAATCATCTCCAAATTCTTCAATTGTTTCCTCATCTTCATCATGGGTGCTTGCATTCACCTGCACTGACCAAACAGAGGAGTTATCATCATCAATGGATGCCTTCTCTTTGCTTGTATTGCTTTCCCCTGTTATTACTCCTTCATCTGTCACCACCGAATCACATTCTGTTGAATCTGAGGTCTCTGATTTCTCAGAAAAGTCCAGCAACAAAGACCTTGTTATCATACTTTCCTGGATTCAACACTCAATCCCTCAAATATGCCACTCGCCACCACCTATCATATTTCACAAAAGGATCAAACAATATTTGAGAATTTTGATCTCACAAGATTCAAACTTCAAATTCCTCAAAAACAGGAAGTGCCATCATCACTCCAGTGTTGTTAATACCACCATCCTCAACTTGTGGTGTATTTGCAGGAGTAGGAGCCAAAATCCCCATTGGGGAATTCACACAGCTCTGCACATGAAGAGAAGGGCGACGGTTGTGCAACTCAACTTTCGAAAGCTTGGCTTCTTCTTCAACTTTTTGCAAGAGATTCTTGACTTGTCCCCTTAGCAATGCCTCACCGGAACCGGGAGCCATCATCCTCATGTTCTTGCCTCCCCACGGCTTAGATATGTCAGACTTTGGGGTCCCCACAGCAAGCCCGACAATGGGTGAATCGTTTGTTATGTCAAGAAGGGCAGACTTGTCTTGTTGCTGCTTTCCGATTCTTGCTCTTGTTTTCGTCACACACTTCTTCTCAGACTCTTCATTCTTTCCTCCTGAAAAAAGGGGGAAACAATCAAGAACGAATAATTAAACCCCATTTTTATAAATCTTTGATAACCCTACAAAGAAAGTGAAAATGACTCACTTGAAACAGAATTACTGTTTTTCAAAGAAGAAGCCTGTGATCTGGTCACTCTTCTCGCAGAAGAAGGGGTCTCCATTGGAAATCAATCGAAAAGTAACTGGAAACGCAGATTTAGGTTGCCAGAAAGAAAACCTTTCCCCCCAAGAATGATGAGGAACTGTTCAAAACTTCAAACTCTAAAGAAAAGGAAGTAGGCATTGGAGGGTAGGGTTGGTTTGATTTGATCATGGGTTGGATCTTCTTCGGGCTGAACTACTGCATGAATATTGGGTTAACTCATACTTATTTATATTTTTGTAATTTCAGTTTTATATTCTATACTTATTTTAATTTAATCCTTGTATGCTATTTAATTTATTTAAATTACAATTTATAATTTTATGTTTTTTCAAGTTAGTTCTTAAAATTACATTTTTATCCAAAATTGTCTCATACTTATTTTATTTTTTTATTTACTCCAAACTCTACAAATCACGTCATAATTCATAAACTACATTTCAAACCCTATGTCTATAAATTATATCATAATATCCAAAATCTTATAAACTTTTGTTCCCCAAGTATTGAAATGAAATGTATCCGGTCCATTTTTATATTAATTTCAGCTTCACATTTTACATTTGTTTTGATTGGATCCCTACGTGTTTTTTAGTTTATTTAAATTTAAATTTGTAATTTTATATTTATTCAATTTAGTCATTAAACTTATATTTGTATATGAAATTGGCCCATATTTATATTTATGTAATTTACTTCAAACCCTATAAATCACATAATAAACTTCATTTCAAACTCTATAAATTATATCATAATCTCGAAACATATAAACTTTGGTTCAACAACTTTTTAAATGGATGTAATTTAGTTTATTTTTATATTAATTTCAACACCACGTTTTATAATTATTTTGATTTGATCCCTCATTCATGCGTGTTATTGAATTTATTTAAATTTCAGTTTGTAATTTCATGTTTGTTCAATTTATTCCTTAAAATTATATTTTTATCAAAAGTAAACCATAATTATTTATTCTTTTTTGTAATTTAATCCAAATCATATACAATTACCAATTATAATTCGACGTTCATGAAAGGCATAAGTTTTTTTAGATTAAGTTTAAAGGGTGGCTAAAAGAGGCAAACTAAAGTTTTATACCTAGTTTACGTGAATTAGCTTTAGAGGTTAATTGCAGCAGTGCCCCCCTAAGTTTGTTGGTCATTATTTTTGTCCTTTCTTTTTTGCTAATTTTTATCTAACCTCCTAACTTCATTTTATTTATTTTAGTCCCTATTTATGGTTATATGTGTTATTTTTATTTTATTTTTAGTGCCATTTTATTTGACCTCATTTATATTTCAGTATCTATTTTTATACACTTTACATTTTAGTACCTTTACTTTCTGCAATTTTAGTCTCAGTACTTTAATTTATTTTTTTATTTAGCACCTTTATGTCATTTATACACATTTTAGTATTTTTATTTTCATCATTTACAAATACGCCCCTTTTCTACTTATTTAATCTTAATTGTTAACCATTTTAATATCTTCCAAATTTGCTATTGTCCATATAAAGTTAGCATTTTGTAATTTTTTAATATCCTTATTTATCTTTAATCTTTACCATTTGTTGCTCTTGATTTATTTCTTTTCATATTATATAATTTCCTTCCAAATGAACTTAAGTCATTTTATTCCTTCCTTTTTTGTTTCCTTTATTTTTTAGATTAAGATGTTAGTTAAGTTTAATTTCTTTTCTTTTCTTTTCAATTTTTAGATTTTGTCAATTTGTTTAGTTTATTTTCTTAACTTCTTTTTTATTTTTATTTATTTTCTTTCTTTGCTTGACTTTAGCCATTCATTATCTTATTTCTTTTTTCAAATCTATTATAATAGACGTAAAGTTAGCATCTTTTAAACAATTTATTTCCTTTGATTTTACTGTTTGCCTCCACTAATTTTATTCCCCCTTGAATTTAGTTTCCTTTTTAAATATATTTCATGCTTTTGTCCTTCATCTGTTTCATTACTTATTTCCTATTATTCAGTTTTGTAACACTCTGGATTTCGTGTTAGGAGTTTGGGCTAATCCGAGATGGACCTTAGATTATTCTTAAGCTTTTAGGGAGCTTAGACCCAAAAACAAGTAAAATTGGGCTTGAATCTAGCCCAATAGGATTTAAAAGGGAATAATTTTAATCTGTAATCAGAATTAGAGGGATCAAGAAAGCAATTATACCTTTGTTTGAAATAAAAGTTGAAACCAATTAAGAATCGATTATCTCACATCTGATTCTTCATCCTCATTTTCCCTCACATTTGTCTTCTTCTCCCAAACTCTTTTATTCATCTTTTTCCTAAGCATTTCAAGTGAAAAGTGGGAACTTTATTCTTTCCAAGTTTCTTCCATCAACACCAAGGTAAGGATTAAACTCAGCACCAAGGTAAGGATTAAACTCAGCACCTCTAGAACATCCATTTGAGACCAAAAGAATAAGTTTTGGCTATGGTTTTTGAAAGTGGGTTTTGAGAGGGTTTAAGAAACCTTTGGGTCAATCTGATTTTCAGTAAGCTAGGCCCTTAAAAGTTTTTTAAACCTTCCTTAACCCTAAATTCAGCTAGTAACCATGGTTTTACATTTTTTTCTAGTGAGAGATATTGGAGAAAGCTCTAAGGCTAAAGGGAATGAGAAACTCACCTTGGGTTGAGTCTTGAACATTTTAGCAGCAAAGTTTAACAAGGTAAGCCATTTCTAACTCACCTATACCACGCGTAGCACATTTAGATGAGATTTGGTAGGATGCATGAGCTTGAAGCATTTTCATGGTAGATTCATTTTTGGGTGTTTCAACATGTATTGAGACCTATTTACCAAATAAAATAATTAAACATTAGTTGGGGACCTCAATGGGGCATTTGGATATGGAAAGATGGGATTTTCTTGCCCAAAACAGAGCACCCAGTAGTGACGATATTGATACTGTAAGAACAATATCGATATTGTTCTTCATTCGGGCACAAATTAGACAGTTTTATAAGAGTAATATCGATACTCATTCATTGAGTATCGATACCAGGGTAAAAGTATTGATACTCCCCACGGGAGTATAGATACTGTTATTTTTAAAAAAATATCAAACCGAAATTTGGTATCGATACTCTGTCAAGTATCGATACCCCATCACCTTAGTATCGATACTCTTCTGAGGGTATTGATATTGCCTTAATCCAAAAGTTACATCAGTCAGGGGGTATCAATACCAACAGGTGGGTATCGACACCAAAGGTTTAGTGTCGATACTGAAGGGTCAGTATTGACACCCACATACAGATTTGAATAAATAATCCAAGGGTTAAGAGATCAGACTCGAGGTACCCCAAATACTCAAAATAACCTCAAATAAGACTTTAAATGATAACAGTAACTAATATCATAACAGTAAAAACAGTAACAGCTAGATTAAATAAAACTAACCTTGTTTGATGCTCAAGAAATAGCAAGGACACCCGAGTTCCTCTTAGCAAAATTACTACAGTCAGTGGATATCTATGTCAGTGCCAAGAAACTTAAATAGCCGACTGGGCGCAAATGCCCCAAGACTCGACGGAGCAACTTGGAGGGTATACATTTCCGATGTAGCTCCGAATCTCACCCGAGATACCTAAGGGTATCTCAGAAAGCCTAGAGGGGTACGTGAGCTCTAAGATGCAAAACCTCAGTCGTACCATGATGCCTACTCAGTAGTTAAATCACTAGCTTTGCATGTTTGGACATGTTCCACCAGCTATCTCATTTAGTGAATGCATGTAGTATAATATAGTTATTAGTGAGATATTAAGCTCATAAGCTCAACGTTCAGAATGTGTTTTTGTGCACAAGTTTTTAGGGGCATGTCGTGGGGAGTTATCGTCGCCAAACATTCCAGTGCGGCAGTACAGACCAATAGTGACCACCAGAGTACGTCTTAAGTCATCTTTAGAGGGCATGTACTATTTATGAACCCTTTTATGTATTCACTTATAACTCTTTTGATACTCGATATTTGTAGTATTTTTTGATGTACTTGGGGAGCTCCCCATTATTTTATAAACCCATATTATCATGTTTTGTTTTTATTATTAATCTCATTTAGTGAATGCATGTAGTATAATACAGTTATTAGTGAGGTACTGAGCTTGCAAGCTCAGTGTTTAGAATGTGTTTCTGTGCACAAGTTTTTAGGGGCATATTGTGGTGAGTTATAGTCGCCAGATATTCCAGTGCAGCAGTACAGACCAGTAGTGACCACTAGAGTACGTCTTGAGTCATCTTTAGAGGGCATATACTATATATGAACCCTTTTATGTATTCACTTATAACTCTTTTGATACTCGATATTTGTAGTATTTTTTATGTACTTGGGAGCTCCCCATTATTTTGTAAACCCATATTAACATGTTTTTTTCATTACTATGGATGGATTATTTCAATAATTATAAATAGTTTTAAAAGAAAATTTTTGGGTCACTATTTCGGTAGTCCTGTGTAACATTGTATTCCATGGATCTTCGGGTCAAACTAGATTAGGGTGGTACATTTAGTGGTATTAGAGTAGCGGAGTTTAGTCGTTCCTAGGACCTGCGGGTTAGAGTCAGACAACGTCTGTATATGTACATGCCTCTAGGGAGTCAAGAGTACTATAACAACTTGAATGATGATAATGACTTTTTTTCCTTTTAATCCCATATAGAACCCATGGCAAATGACCCAATTTATAGACAGGAGGGTAGAGACGAGAGTCATGCCTCACTAGCAGCATATTCTGGTGACGAATTCATTCCATATACAGTTCAGAGGAAGGCACCAATATATGTGGGGGTCGAGGAGACACCTTCTTCAGTGACCTCACATCCGTTCTTAGGCAGATCACTAGGTCCCTACCTAGTTCCTCAGCTGCACCACCTCCCTCACCAACACCCCTAGTTCAGTAAGTATCCACCCCTCAGGAGTCCCTATAGAGGGAATCCATAGATATAAGACCATTGAGTTCTTCGGTTCAAATAATGATGATCCTATAGCAGTTGACCAGTGGCTCAAAGAGACCCTACGCACCATCAAACAACTGTATCATACCCTAGAGGGTAATCTAGAGTATGTCACCGTGCTACTCAAGGGTGACGCCATAGACTGGTGG